TATAATACATGTGAACATTTTTTGCGTCACATATGATGCCATGACAAACACCCAAACAATCACGTACCATGATAATGTAAAAAACCATCTTTCCTGTTGCGCAAGATGTTAAAAACATCGTCACGGAATTATATATATTATATATTATTTGTGTACACTTTTTTTTATGCAATTCAAAATATGACAATCAACCATATTAAAGAACTCACGTATCATCACGAAAGGATACGGGATTTTTCCATTAATTTGCTTGTTTTTCACATATCATCTTGCTTCATTTGTAAATGTTAATTTCTATTACATACCCCTTAAAACAATTACTTTTCCTTTATTCACGATAACGAAAATGATGTTTCAAGTTAATTTCTCATTCAAACTATTCAAATCCTCCATAGCACACCGATACAGAAGACAACTACACTTAAAAGGGTAAGATTCAACATTACTTTTAGTCACGTGAAATGCCTTTATCTATATATTTGGCATGGCGTCCTAATATATGGGGTCTTCATTATAAATGCATGAATATATGGTTACACATATGTGTTTGCGGGAGTTTTAGTGTGTGTTTGGTGTTGCGTTTTAAGAATTGATTTATCAAAATCAATTTTCCAAACGTAGAAGCTATTTTTATTAGCTTCAGGCAAAATTGATTTTCACACTTAAAATTGTGTAAAAAAGAGAAAACCAAACATCTATTCAAAGAGAGGAATCACGTTTTTTCATCCAAATACGTGCGTTAGCTTGCTCTAACGCAAATCCAAACACGCTGTTAATATCAAAATATTTTATATAATAATAGTGAATAAGTTCACATAAGTGAGTATGTTAATACCTTAAGATATTAGGTAGGTAGACTTTTTTTACTTATATACTATTCAACCTGTCTAACTTTTTTAATTATTAGAGTTCATTTCATACTTAAACTCTAATAATTGAAAGCTTAGAATTTTTTTTTTCTTTTGTAAATAAATTGTATTCACATTATAAGTATTTTTTTTATTATTATCCTAATGTAAATCTTTAAAAATACCTACATGTAAGAATAATATATTTATAGATATATGACATTAACTTTGTAACAACAAAATTTCTTTATTATGACGCTTTGGTGAGTTAAATAAAGAAGATATTTATAAACTATTCTTAGTTTTAACTTCTAAGGGACTAGAGAGGTCTGTGTCCTTTCTCTAATGTTTTAATTGTAAATCTACGAATAAATTACTACAATCAAGATATTGTTTATTTTGATGTTTATTGAACCAATTTTATCTATAAAAACCATCTCAATGAATTTAGGAGTTAGGAATAATGTTTATTAATTACTCTTGACCTAAACTCTAAAGCGATGTAAAATTTGTAAGTATATTAAAACAAATTACGTACAAGTATCCTCAATTAAAAGTAATCATATTCATGTAAAAAAAAATGCAGATATACAAATTTCTTTAAATTATTTTTTGTGTTTTTCAAAGTAAAACTATTATGGATGATGACAACATTCATTCTCTTTAAATATTTAGCACACTGCAAGTAAAAAAATATTACATTATTACATCTAGCTTGGTGATATATCTATCGGATCCTCCACTCCACATATATGCAGTCCCATCATTGAGCAATACCTAATATAATAAAAAAAAAATGGCCATGCCAATTCAAGTTGCACACAGTAACTCGCTATCAACCGCATACCAATATTATGTGCATGATCCATTATATGATTATTGGATGGTGTTGTATCCTTATATTCATATTCAATGAACCACATGGGGTTTGTCAAATTGCTAGAAATGGAAATGGTGTATATGGAAAAGCATGTATGCCGTATTCCAATTTGATTAGCAATGACATATCGATCACAAATGGATGCAGTTTTCAATTCTGATTTCTGACATGCATGAACAAGTAATCAAACGTATCCGTTAACATGAATTTCACCAATTTACTCTTACCATTGATCAAACGAAGTCCTACTTCATATGTAACACATGCACCGGCCTCGTTGATTAAAGAAATAAGGGTTTCTAACCCCACGTTTTGTAATTCTGTTTCTTTGGGCTTAGGCCCTTTTTGAATATAAAAATAAAGAAAAGAAAGAAATAATGAAAGAAAGAAGGCATTTGAAACAAATTTTAACAAGTTTCTAGTATATTGCACATTTTAAACAAATTTTAATTGAGTTTAATTTCAATCTTGAGAGTAAATATCTTTTTATTCACAACTAACAACAAATCATGATAGGAATGATAGGAATGACTTTTTAAGATAATTATTGTAATATAAAAACTAAGAACTTGTCACATGATAAATTGTGATTGAATATTTTTAATTAAATTTTATAGCACATAATCCTTTATAATTGATTTTTAACTTGGTTAGAAAAATACCAATAATATATGAAAGTTACTCATATGTCATAGGATACGAGTTAATGTAGTAGTTGTTTTTAATTATTTATAAAGTATTAAAGTTACCATTTTTCGAAGAGAAAAAAAGGCGCATCTGATTGATTTAATTGCTTTTATATATTTTTAATTTAAAAAGTAAACTTTCTTAAAAGATAAACACAAACAAATGACCTTAAGGTTTTTTTAATAATTATAACCAAGAAAAGTATTCTATCTATTTTAAAAAACAATTATCAATTTTGAAATTTTGATTTGTATTATATTAGTTTTCATTTTACAAAAATAGTATTATTTATTTTTACTTTATTAATGTCATTTGATATTTTACTAATCGGAATGGGAAAGCATTGACAAGGTGATATTATATGATTGAAATGATTATAATAATGGGACATTAAATTTTATAATTTGTAATAAATTTGATTTAATGATTTTTTATCAATAAAAAATTATAATCTATATTTATATATAAAAAATGATTCCTTGTGTACACAATTTTTTTAGAATATTTTACCCTTAAAAATATATTAGGTTTAGAAAATGAAAAGGAGAGAGGAAGAAAAGAAAATGAATTAAAAAATGAGATGTATTTTAAGCTTTTTTTTTTTCAAAAAAGGAAAGAAAGTTGTAACTTCTCTTTTTCTTATTTGGTTGTCAAGAAACTAGAAAGAAAAACATGTATATAAAAAAGAAAATATCCCTTTATATATATATATATATAAAGAATGTGAGAAAATAAGGAAAATTTTATCTTTATCATACATTAAAAAAGAAAAGGTTTCATTTTTTTTCTTTACCTCCATATTTGAATAGAGTGGTTTTTCATCCCTTTCTTAAGAGAAACCAAACAATGGAAGAAACAATCTACTTCACTTTTTTGTCCTTTGGTAGTTTTCGTTATTACTGTTTGGTATATAGAAAATAGTGTATAATTTGTCCATCTTATATAGAAAATTATATAATTTTATAATTTATTAGCATACCAATTGAATAATAAGTATTTTGCATATTTACATTAATAAAATAGTCTCATCCAATAAGGCATATTTTGCACTTTTTTTTATTATTGTAATTAAAAATCAAGTCACAAACCAAAAGTGTGTAAAAGAAAGGTGAAATGATTTTTTTTCTCGTATAAGTTGAAAATCCTTATCGTTTATCCCGAGTATTGTATATGTAACTGGTAAACATTTGGAGAAAAATATTTTTTGTTCATAATAAATAATAACCCTACTTGATCAAGAATGTCTATGGCGGAAGATATATGATACATTATATATATATATATAAAGATTAAATGATTTCAAGAGTAATTTTTAGTAAAGTTAATCCACTTATTAACTTACGATGTATGTTAAATTTCAATGATCTAATCGTTAAATTAAGATTTTTTAATACACAAGTCAAATCTACAAATTTTTGAAATTTTTAAAAATCTTGATATTTTGATATATAAATTAAACTTAACGCGTAAAATAATTTTTTTATAATTATTCGTCAATTTGAATTAACAAAATGAAATATCAAATAATTTTTAAATTTTAAAAATTTATAAACTTAATCTATATATTCTACATATGTTATGAATTATTAATGAGTTATTTGATCTATATATATACTTATCTTATGACTTACATTAGTTTTTCATACCTCACACAGGTCAAAACGTTTATTTGAGCAGAAATAGACATTTGTTTTTTGCAAAAAAATCATGAGGAACTTGGAAGTTGGAAGCCCAAATTTCCCGAGTGCAATTAAAGAGATATAGATAAATACTAGTTTTTAATAAATCGTATGTTTTATATTCAACTCAATTTTCAAAATGATATTTTATGAAAAGTGATGTCCTCCATCTACCTGAAGGTGTTTTGTTCACAGAAGATTTGTGATTTTCTACTTTCATTGATTTTGTTAAGAAATCTTCAGCAACAGCAAACTTATAATCTTAATGTCTCGTAACTGATGTAGCATTATATAAAACTGGCAAAAAAAAAACAGCATGTAAAGCATTATTTTAAAAAAAATCATTGAAACATGTATACCGTCAAAATCAACTGATTTTTTTTACCACCGAAAATTGCTTATTACAAAAAAAAACTGAAAAATTCCTCCAAAAAGTTTTAATGTTCCGACTAAGACTACAAGCATTTATCAAGTTGTGTTCATTTTTGTCAAACATCCTTTTATACTGTTAATAACGAACATGTCATTATAATTAGTTTTAACTTTTCCAGGTGCTCCACAACATACTCAAGTTAAATTGCATTAATCTTCATTTCCATTTTCACAAAAAGAAACCGAGATTTTTAGCAATAAAATTCAAGCATGTATATCACAAAAATTTAAACTTCAGGTGGTTAATCTACAGAAAATATAATATTTAAGCAAGTAATTTACAATTTAGCAAACTTACCATTGCAATTAGAAGATATACTATCATATACAATAACGATACTCGAATACTGGAATTTTACGCAGGTCATCCTCATACCCCCTCCCCTCCCCCGACATAGTTCATAATCATAACGGCATATATGTTGCAACTCAACACCACAGGTGCTTCGACTAATCTAAATGATACCTCAAGGATCAAGTAAAAATTATCGGGGCAAAGATTCATTTCTGAATTCTGATATTTTAATCAATTTGTTTATAATATTGAATTCTTTAACGGCTACTTCCAAAACTACCGAACAGAAAATGGATAAGTATTTAAGGGTAAAATACATGAAGCACCGGAATCGCATAAAAGGATCATTATGCCATGTTAGGTGTAAGTTCTCTAACCCTAGCACAAATAGGCAAGATCGACCGAAGTAAAAAAGTGCAACAATCTCAATCCATGTATTCAATAACATTTAGAGCTCCAAGCTATCACAACCCTCAAAACTTACGCAGCTGCACTCGGTACTGTAACTGATTTTGAGTCTTCTGCCCGTTCATGCTCTTTGTTAAGCATCTGAAATCACATTACAATATTAAAAGACACGAATCACAGTATATCAGTGATGACTTAGAAACATTTCACTAGATAAGCTTGTCTCATTTTTATAGATATAACCCATGTACCCAGTAAGGTGTAAGCAGAGAACGAGTTCATCAAGTGCCTAGCTTACCGAATACTAAACCTGACTACACAAACGGAGGACTAATTTTCTCCAACCTTGCAAAATTATTATTTTTCATAATATCATAACAAATTCTAAATATGAAGTAATCAACAACCATCGATGATACTTGCAGAAGAATTCAGGGGAGTGTATCTCACCTTGTTGTTAATCAAGTTGTGGAGTGCTATTACACTTCTGATGAGAGATGAGAGGTATATTACTAGCATCATATCATTTGTTTTCACTACACATGGAAGACAGATCAACAATTTAATATGGATATTCTAGAAGAAAAAAAATGATATTAATCAAGTCACAAATCGTAACCTGCGAAAGCCTTGATAAGATCAGCAACATTAAGATTTGGTAGCAGGTTAAACACGTCCTAACAAATTGCAACGAGGAAATGAAATGGTTAAAAACAATAATACAGCATAAGCATAAAAATAAAATTGAAACAAAATGTTTCTATTATTCCTGCCAGCCATTTGCTACGTATCACATGGTTTCCTGTTTTTTTACAAAAGAGCCAAACAATCAGCATTTACTAAGCAAGAATATGAGAAACAAACCTGCAGATGGTACAGGATCTCATGGTTTAATGGAAGCTTTCCATCAATAACAAGGTCAAGGTAACTCCTTATCTCTTTAAGCCTTGCATCCAAACCCTTCAAGGCTGTGAGTTTTGCACTTACCTATGTAAAAATTATGTTGTCCACACTCGGCATCAATAAGGATAAGTTACAGCAAAAAAACATACAACAGAAAACAAAGGAAAAGGAATAAATAAATAAGAATAACTTAAAAGGGAAAAATAAAAACCTCTGTCGCAAGGGTGCTAATGGTTGTATCCTTCACATCTCTAAGCAAGTGTTCCACTCCTGCACAAGGGTATGAAGAATTAAAAAAAAAAGAAAAAAAAAAGGAGAAATTGGTTGCACATCTGTATGGATAAAATTTAGAATTTTCACATTATAGTAGTTTTAGGTTCATTGGCATGAAATACCTATTTCCTCAACTTCATGAGCAGCAATCTCTGATGGCACGTGCACAAAGACCTTTTGACTTTTTTGAGTAGCATTCTGTATTCAGAATAAACTATGTTGAGAAAACACTAGCTTCCTTCCCACCATCATATACACTTTATCAAAGACATAAAGGACTTGTGTTCTACCTCTTTAACCTCTTCAACAGCATAATATGCTTTTGTTGGGATTCCCAATTCCTTAGGTTCAACATCAATTATGACCAAAACAGGATTTGGAACATAGCTGCAACAGTTTTAAGCTTTGATCAATTTGGATAAAGATTAATCAGGTATACAAAACAACAGATGACTACAATAAATACATAAACAGGCAAAGATGTTTCAATCAATATATGACAATGATATTGATGAGGGTAAAAAGGTAAGGAAGTTGCGAAGCCACTTTATATTTTGAAGTAAGACAGGGAAATATAAATGCTCAAATTAAGTGAAGAAAACAAAGCATAGAAATATCACTCCACAGTCCACAAGAATTCGGCCAAGGTAGTTAAAATCAGGGAGGTAAAATTGCAAATAATAATAAAATCACAAATCAAATCATAAGAGTTTACAAAATTCATAATACATACATATTCATAATCCGTATCCTATAAATGTCATGCATCATATTCGTAAGTCAAAACTCATAAAGTAGTAAAAAACTAAACAATTCCAAAAACACAAGGACACAACACATACATTACAATTAATAAAACTAGGAACACCAAAAACACAGGCTCAAACAGAGGAAGAAGATGAAGAATAGCAATGGCCCAAAGCCTCAGAAAGAGGAAAAACAATGGACAGAAGGGTTCTCACAACAATTTGGGTTACCAAGAAAAAAATAAAAAGTGGATCAGTAACAACAAAAGAATCAGGTCAAACATCCAAACAGGTTACCAAGAAAATCTCAAAATCAAAGATAGCATTTCAAAAAAAAAATTTAATACATCTTCATAACCTATATTACATAAATGTCATCCAAAACACATGCACACCACACATTACAACACGTAAAACTTGAACACCAAAAACGGAGGATCAAACAGAGAAAGATGGACCAAGAACAGTAATGGCTCAGATGGAGGACAACAATGGCCCAAAGCCTCAGACAGGAAGAATGGAAGAATAACAAAGGACTGAAGGAGAGAATGGTTCACACAAGTATTAGAGTTTGCTGATTCACCAAATCAAACAAGAGAATGGTGCAGTGTCTGTGTGAGTAATGAGAGAAAAATAAACTGGTCGGCAAAAAATGAATCAGGTCAAAGTCATGCATCCAAACGGATCACCAACAAAATAGCAAAACTGAAGGATTTTAGTGATTTTGGGATTTACATCCTAATATTAGAAGGATTTTACCGCAACATGGATTTTAACTACAATTTGGATTTGAATTGCCTAAAGGGATTAAAGTCATAAAACCGTGGATTTTACGGTTTGAATCCAGATGTTAACTACCATGAATTCAGCTCAATAAACTTACTCATTAAATAAGCCATGAATGTCAAGGTCATTTTCACGCAGTTTTGGACCTGTGCTATACCACCCGACGACATGCTCCTTTGCTGTAAATCACACAATAAAGGAACATGTTCAATAATTAGATCAGATATATTTAATCAAAAAAGAAATACAAAAGGAAAATTTTCCCAAGTGATACCATTTATTCTTTTAAACATGGAAAACATGGATTCGTGGTAATTGTGGTCAAGAAACCAGATGCTTGGATCCTTGTCATCTTCTTCAAAGGGCACTGTCAATTCGATAACCAAGTAGTGAGAGAGAGAGAGACAATTCACACACTCCATTTCGTGTTGACATGCCTAAATCGCGCAAAGAATCACTCCAACAAAATTCACATTGGAAGCAGCAATGTTATACGTTAAATTGGATATCCAACGTGGTAAACATACCAAAATGAAGCAAACTAGTGTGAATAATGTTATACATAATACATAATAATCATGGACACCCTTTGCTCTCATGATATACAAAGCTCGAACTTAGTACCTTGTGCATCCTAACCCCACCACTAACGACTAACGACAAGGGCAAGCCTGATTTGTGATTCAATAGGTCAGAAATTGGGGAAGCAGTGGGCAAGGGGTAATTATAGTATTATTAATTTTGAGAAAGTGGTATTAGGTCTTGACATAGATGAACAATGAGTGAAGGAACATAATTGAAATAAAAGAAAAGGGTACTAAAGTATAAGATGGAGAAGAAGAATTAGCAATGCGGAGGTTGGAAAGGAAAAAGGATAGATCGGCACCGGCGTAGCTGTTGGTGACGTCGACGGTGCCTTTGAAGGAGCAAGCAGAACGGGCCGTTCTAGTTTCAGAACGGGCCGTTCCAGATGCAAAATTAACACATGACATACGTATGAGTTCTGATTGCACTCGTCATATGTTAATTTTGCATCTGGAACGACCCGTTCTTACATGATATGAAAGGCTGGTTGGAATAACAATTATAGACACGAGAAGATAATTTTTCCAACTTTATATTTCTAGAAAAGTAAAAATATTTATTATATCAAACACTTCACCTCCCAAGCTAACATTATTTAAGAAGTTGATAAAAAAAAATTATTAAAAATTACCCTAAAAGAGCATTTATATCATTAAATATTATATTTTTAATAAAAAAATCACTTAAAATTTTTAATCATTATTCAAAATGGTTAGTAAAATTGATAATATTAATGCAATTTTTCTACACTAAATTATCCTGAGTAAGATAGAGTCATAGATCATTATTTTAAGATATTATTAAAGTATTTTTTTTATATTAAATTATATAAAATAATATTTTATCAACCAAAATCATATTTTATAAATATAAATTAATTATTAGTTATTAACTTTGAGATATCGCATATGCTGATGGAGGGGGGAAAAATCATAGATCTACCCTATTGGTTAGTTACTAGTTTATTCATGAAGCTGGTCATGTGACATTGAGAGCTGATCTATATAATAAAGCTGGTATATTGTATTTTTCAAAGTCTGTCTTACACCTTTCTCTAATGATTTTCTTCAGCTATTGCCATCTTTCTCAAAAAGTCAAACATATATATTCAGAGGAAATCTTTATTCGTCATACATTATCAAATTCTCAATTATTTCACTTTTTTGACTACCTCTCTTTATACCCGTTAAAATAAATTTCTTTAATTTCTCTACTTTTTCACATTATTGGGCATTTTGTTATGAGTTTTACCAATCAACATCCTAAAGATACTGATTAATTAAAAAATAGAAAGTTTTCACTAAAATTTGTAGTAGAAGTACATTAGAAATGATGATTATTAGGAACGTATTAATAATAATAATTTTTTAATCAAAAAAACAATTTTGTAATCTTAATTTAAAAGGTAGTATTGGTTAAGCTTAAACTATTGTTTTATGTGACAGATTTATGGCGGGAGTGTGAAAAAAGTAACCAAAAAGGAAGATTTTTGTTTGCCATATATTTCAAGGTTGGTCCTCAATCTACCCTGGTTAATTTTACCATGTTCTTACCCTTGCATGCGAATCAGAGCGATATAACTTTGGTCTTATCCTAGTCCATCTTAAACAGTGATTTTAATTAGTTTTAGATTAGTAGATGATAACGATGAATGACATTCCCAACATGCTTAGATTCCGTACCATTTATTACTCATATTTGTGTGTATATTGTTCTTGATATTCAAAGATAGGAGCAGACCCGAGGCATGGCTCATTTGCAACCGAATAGTAAAAGTATCCTTTAAGCATTCCAAGGTGACATCTCTCATTAGAATGAGAGTAATTAGAATCCCAAGCATTCAAAATATCTAAGGATAGTATACTCAGAAAATAGAGAGAAAAACAACATGAACCGAGCATGCAGAGAAGAATGTCCAATCATTTCCAATATTTAAGAAGGAACTAAAACTCACTAGGTAAATATTACCAATATTAAGATACATTTTCTTTATGCTAAACCTAACAAGAATGTATTTATTGAAACAAACATAACATCCCCTTCTCCAACCACCACCCCAAAAAGATTCCCATTTTCACATAAAACTACTCAAGCGAAGATCTAATGGTGGGTGATCCATTTGTTCCCCCACTGTGTATGAAAACATCGTATTATCCCTGCATTCACTTGCATGCACCCTCATATTCTTTGATTCTGATTCACCAAAGGAATTCAAGGGAAAGA